CAGGCGGACTCTCAACCACTGCGCCACCAGGGAAGCCCTGTTTTTAGTTTTTTAAGGAACGTCCATACTGTTCTCCATAGTGGCTGCACCAATTTATATTCCCACCAACAGTGTAGGAGGCTTTCCTTTCCTCCACACCCTCTCCAGCATTTATTGTTTGTAGATGTTTTGATGATGGCCATTCTGACCGGTGTGAGGTGATACCTCATTGTAGTTTTGACTGGCATTTCTCTAATAATTAGCAACGTTGAGCATCTTTTCACGTGCCTCTTGGCCATCTGCATGTCTTCTTTGGAGAAATGTCTATTTAGATCTTCTGCTCATTTGATTGGGTTGTTTGTTTTTTTGATATTGAGATGCATGAGCTGTTTATTTTGGAGATTAATCCCTTGTCAGTCACTTCATTTGCAAATATTTTCTCCCATTCTGTGGGTTGTCTTTTTGTTTTGTTTACGGTTTCCTTTGCTGTGCAAAAGCTTTTAAGTTTAATTAGGTCCCATTTGTTTATTTTTATTTTTATTTTCATTACTCTAGGAGGTGGATCAAAAAAAGATCTTCCTGCGATTTGTGTCAGAGAATGTTCTGCCTATGTTTTCCTCTAAGAGTTTTACAGTATCTGGTCTTACACTTAGGTCTTTAATACATTTTGAGTTTATTTTTGTGTATGGTGTTACAGAATGTTCTGATTTCATTGTTTCACATGTAGCTGTCCAGTTTTCCCAGCACCATTTATTGAAGAGGCTGTCTTTTCTCCATTGTATATTGTTGCCTCCTTTGTCATAGATTAGGTGACCATAGGTGCATGGGTTTATCTCTGGACTTTCTATCCTGTTCCACTGACCTATATTTCTTTTTTTGTGCCAGTACCATACTGTTTTGATTACTGTAACTTCATAGTATAGTTTGAAATCAGGGAGCCTGATACCTCCAGCTGCGTTTTTCTTTCTCAGGATTGTTCTGGCTATTTGGGGTCTTTTGTGTTTTCATACAAATTGTAAAATTTTTTGTTCTAATTCTGTGGAAAATGCTATTGATAATTTGATAGTGATTGCATTGAATCTGTAGATTGCTTTGGGTAGTATAGTCATTTTCACATTATTGATTCTTCCAGTCCAAGAACATGGTATATCCCTCCATCTGTTTGTGTCATCTTTGATTTCTTTCATCAGTGTCTTACAGTTTTCTGAGTACAGATTTTTTGCCTCCTTAGGTAGGTTTATTCCTAGGTATTATATTCTTTTCTTTTGCAATGGTAAATGGGATGTTTCCTTAATTTCTCTTTTGGATCTTTCGTTGTTACTGTATAGGAATGCAAGAGATTTCTGTGTGGTAATTTTATATGCTGCAACTTTACCAAATTTATGGATGGGCTCTAGTAGTTTTCTGGTAGCATCTTTAGGATTTTCTATGTGTAGTATCATGTCATCTGCAAACAGGGACAGTTTTACTTCTTCTTTCCAGTTTGGATTCCTTTCATCTCTTTTTCTTCTCTGATTGCTGTGGCTAGGACTTCCAAAACTATGTTGAATAAAAGTGGTGAGAGTGGACATCCTTGTCTTGATCCTGGTCTTAGAGGAAATGCTTTAAGTTTTTCACCATTAAGAATGATGTTTGCTGTGGGTTTGTCATATATGGCTTTTATTATGTTGAGGGCCATGCCACGTTGGATGAGAGCTGAACAGTAGATAATCCACTGGCCTAGGCTGATTCCAGCTAGCAACGGGAAGTCCCACTTCATGTCCTACTTTAAAGCTCTTTGCCAGGAGCACACAGTAAACTTTTCATTTGTATTGGTTAAGCTCCAAGAACCAGTACCTGTTTGGGGAATTGAAGTGAGCACGGGCAGGTACAAGGAAGCTGCACTTTGCCAACCAGATTCTATACTGTCTGTCTCCAAACTTATAAGACGCAGCAGTAACCCAGAGGTGGAATCTCAGGGGAATGGGTAATGCTGATGGAAAATACATATACATTTAATATGAAACACACTTGTATCAATATTAACATGCAGAATCCTATATTGAGGGGTATTTTTGTAGTCCAAAGGTCTGGACTCAATCCTAATTTTACCTCTTTGGAGTATGACTTTGAAATGTCACCTAACAGTTTTTTTAATCTCTTTCTTCATTTGTAAAATGGGAATATCAGGCTTACTTATCTCAGTGGGTGGTTATGAGAATCAAATGAGGGGATGTATATGAACTGATATGCGTTAATAGTTGCTAATGATCACATACTTCCTATGGAATGTTATTTCTTGAATCTTGTATCTTTCTAATACATCCCTAGACCTGTAAGTTGCAACTGGTTCTTTTTCTACTTGTGCAACAAGTGAAATCTTGTATTGGGTTCCTCAGAGTATGAATGGGTTCTTGGAATCACCCAGTTTTGTAAAAGATGGCTCAATCTCTCTCTTGTCATTTGCCCAGCAGTGTGCCGTGTAAAAAATGTGTGGTGGTTGGTAATGGAGGAGTTTTGAAGAATAAGACGTTAGGAGAAAAAATTGACTCCTATGATGTAATAATAAGGTAAATATATCTTCTATTTGCTAACCTGGAATTATTTCAGAAGCGTATAGTTTCCTGCTTTAGTACCGCTGTGTTTTAAAAGGAGGTAGAGTCGCTGTAGTATATTTAAGTACATTACACATTACTCGAGTTGTTGCCTGGAGTAGGCCTAGATTTCAGGTCATTTATTTAGCAAATATTTATGAAATCCCCTTAATATGCCAGGCACAGTTCTAGCTCTAGTTCTGGAACAGTTCTAGGGGGATATAGCAGTGAAAAAGAATAATATTCTTGCTCCCCGTGGAGCTTACATTCTAACGAGGGGAAGAAAACAGTAATTAAATAAAGAAATGTGGTAATAAATGCCATGCAAACAATTAAAACATGTGTGATAGAGAATGACTGAGTGGCTATTTTTGAATTGATGACTGTTTTGAAGGGGAGGCGTCTAAACCGGACCTAAGACCACACAGTACCGGCCGTATGAAGACTGGGGAATACAGACAGAGAGGATGTTTACTGCAGGTCTCCAGGAGGGTATGATGCTAGGTTTAAGAGCAGCAGCAAGAAAACCAGTGAGGTTGGAGGGCAGCAGGCTGGGGAGGTGGTGCAATTGGCAGCTGAAGAGGTAGGTAAGGAGCAGGCTGTGTAGGACTTTGTAAACTATGATTAGAGCTTGCGTTTTATGTTAAGTATAACAGAAAACTTTTGAAAATTGTTAAGCAAGAGAGCAACTCTATCTGGTTATGTCTTTAAAATACCCTGGTGATGGCATGGACAATGAAACAGGAAGGACAAGCTGTAGAAACGAAGAGGCCAGTTAGGTTGCTGCATTTGGGTAGAGAATGGGTGGCTTGCAACAGGATTGTCATGGCGTGGAAGGAGATAAGGGGCTACACTGAGGCATGTTTTAGGGGTAGAGTTATCAGGATGTTCTGATGCATTAGATGTGAGCAGAGATGGGAATAAAGGAATGCAGGATACCTCCTCCTAGGTTTTCAGCTTAAGAGATTGGCTGGATAGTGGTACCATTCATTGAGTTGGGGAGGACTAGGGTAGGAACAGGTTTAGAGGAGAATCAAGATTACTGTTTGAACATACCGGGTTTGATATGCTTACTAGATTTGCGGTGGGTAAGTCAAGTAGGCAGTTAGATAAACAGGTTAAAATCTTCATTGCGAACAGCCTGTAAGTTGTACTTAAACCGTGGACTGGGTGAGATTTCCCAGGGAGAGACAGAGAAGAGGGTCCAGGACTGAGCTTTGAAGTAGTCAAAACTTAAAGGTTGAGCAAAGAAAAAGGAGTTAAAGAGTTGGAGAGGATCTACCAGTGAGGTAGGAAGAAAGACAGAAGGTGGTCACAAAAGCCAAGAGAGCACAGTGTCTTAAGACAGAGGGAGGTTTCAAGCATGACAAAGGCTGGTGAGAGGTCACGTAAGATAAGGACAGAGTTCACCATTGGACTGGCAAGCTGAAGCTCACTGTTACTCTTGACAGAAGAAGACTTGGAGGCACGGTGCAGGGGAGAAGCCCAAGTGGGGTGGTTTGAGGAGAGAATGACAGGTGAGGAAGTGGAGAAACCAGTAGAATCAACTCTTTAGAGAAATTTCACTGTGGAGCTGAGAAATGAGATAGTCGCTGGAGATGATTATGGACTCAAAGGAGATTTTCTATTTTGTTTCCTTTTATAAAGATAGATTCTAAAGCATATTAGTAAACTGATGGAAATGAGTAAGGAGGTTGGTGTGGTAACAAGAGAGGGGATGGGGTCCAGAACACCAGTGTGGTTATCTCTGCAGTGGAAGGGAAAGCTGGGATTGTGGTTACAGCTACCAAGAGTCCCATAGATGTAATGGTGGGGAAATGCGGACATTTCGAGTTCTGTTTTCTCATTGAAAGGGTGAAGTCAGGTCATTATCCGGGATAAAGTTTGTGTGTGTTGGGAATGGCTATGAATACTCTTCTGTAGAGTGGGAAAGCTTTGCGCTGGGCAATGCATTAGGATGACCTGGCAGTGCTTGGGCATTTTGCTGGGTTACAAGCTGAGGGTTTCTGCATAGCGTGGTCACCTTATTTTCTGTGGATTATTCATTTTGAGGAAGCTGTGAAAATTTATCCACAAAACAATGTTGAAACACTCACAAATTTCTTTATAATTGTCTAAAATCTGGTCACCTAGAACCACACCAGGCCCTTGTGGGAAAATGCCATTAAAGACATTATGAAAGTCATTTCAGGTGTTACTAAGGCTGCCTTATATCACAGTCAGTGGCAAAGGATCAAACAGTATTTATCTCCTGGGGACAGTGTTTTGGGAACAATGCATTCCTTTTCATAGCACACCTTCATGGTGTGTGCATAAATAGTATATGTCTAACCTTGGCTTTGAGTATCCACAAACCCAACACTGGATCCTTTGTGGTTCTTTGGTTCACACCAGAGACAGTCATTCATTTGGTTGTGCTTGGGTATAAATATAGCAATTTTATGTCGTTACTTTATTTCAGAGCACAACAATTTTGGTGGTTTTTCAAATCACCTTAACTGTGACTCTTGCCTGTCAGTCACTGAGACACACGTCCACCTGCTACATGATTGTGTAACCCTGGGCAAGTAACTTTATCTCTATGTACATTGGGGCCCTTATCTACAAACACAAGGGGTTTTGTCTGGATGTCCTCCCACGTCTCTTTTAGCTTGAGTATTCTGTGGTTTTATGTTCCCATTTGTTTCATCTTGTCTTCAGTTTTTTCTGGAGGTAAGAATGAATTATCAGGGTCCCCACAGTTAATTTTCAAACACAAATGAATGTTTCTGCCTTTGATCAAACAGCTGTTTCACGAAAGGGAGTTATTTCCTTGGCTATTACGTGTGAAAGATTGACCGATTGCCACGTGGCTTTAGAGTCCTGGCTACACGGCTGACGATGTTTGTCCAGCTCTGAGAACTGTGATGGACGTGACCCGTACTGCGCTTGGTCTACATATCTTGTGTGTTTTACTACCCACAGAATGAATAATGGTCCTATTTTAGGACATGAAGAGGAAGTTGGGAAAAGGACTACCTTCCGACTTTTTTATCCAGAATCTGTTTTTTCAGATCCCAGTCACAATGATCCTAATACTACGGTGATTCTCACTGCTTTTAAGCCGCTTGATTTAAAGTGGCTGTGGGAATTGTTGACAGGTGGCAAAATAGTAAGTTGGCAAAATTGATCTGGCTTCCAATTACCTTCACTTTTTTTTTCATTTAAAAAAAGAGACAGCAACACGTTGTATTTTCTATTTTCTTACTTTATTTCAGAACACTAATGGTTTTTGGAAGAAACCAGCATTAAATCTGATCTATAAACCTTATCAAATCAGAATATTAGATCCTTTCATTATCAGAACAGCAGCTTATGAACTGCTTCATTTCCCGAAAGTGTTTCCCAAAAATCAGGTATGTATTTTCCTTTGAAGTTTCAAAATAAAGACCTCACTGGGGTGGGACAGAGGGTCCTTGGGGCTCTTGGAAACTGGATGAGAACCACAACTCGTGAGGTGGCTTCACTCACGTCTGGGTTAGTGAAATCACATACCTTTGGATTTTAGCTTTATGTTTTTCAGGTTGCAAGGAAAAGAACCTTAAGTGTGTGTGTGTGTGTGTGTGGGTTTCTGCCATTAATTAATCAATCAATTAATTATTTTTGGCTGCGTTGGGTCTTTGTTGCTGCCCACTTGCTTTCTCTAGTTGCGGCAAGCAGGGGCTACCCCTCCTTGGGGTGCGCGGGCTTCTCATTGTGGTGGCTTCTCTTTGTTGTGGAACACAGGCTCTAGGTGCGTGGGCTTCAGTAGTTGTGGCTCGTGGGCTCAGTAGTTGTGGCACACAGGCTTAGTTGCGGCGCACAGGCTTAGTTGCTCCGCGGCAATGTGGGATCTTCCTGAACCAGGGCTCGAACCCGTGTCCCCTGCATTGGCAGGTGGATTCTTAGCCACTGCGCCACCAGAGAAGTCCCTAATTCTTTTTAATTATAAGGAATCTCATTGACTCTGACTCTTGCAGCCCTGTTTGTCTACATTCCCTAGGGAAAAAATAGTCTTTAGACCCATACAGTGGCAGGCTATGTTTTTCACTTGAAGCTTGAGTAACTGTGTAATGTGATATCTCAGCTGAAATGAAGCTTTCCCTTTTGTAATTGGGTAAAATCCAAAGAAATAAACGTGTATTTGGTATCTTTTCTTCAGAATGATAAAGAAATTCTAAAATATTACATGCTTAAAATCAAACAGCTTTTACAAAGGAGTGTTTTTTAAAAAAGGAAATCATCCTTTTCTCTTCTCTCCATAACTCAGATTATCTCCCAAGCTTTATTGCCTTTTATATCCTTCTAGACTCTTGTTTATGCATTTACAAACACAAGCACTTGTTTTTTTAAAGTTAATTTTTATTGGAGTATAGTTGCTTTACAATGTGTTAGTTTCTGCTGTACAGCAAAGTGAATCAGTTATACCTATATCCCCTCTTTTTTTGATTTCCTTCCCATTTAGGTCACCACAGAGCACTGAGTAGAGTCCCCTGTGCTATACAGTAGGTTCTCATTAGTTATCTATTTTATACATAGTAATTATATATATGTCAATCCCAATGTCCCAATTCATCCCATCTCCCCTTCCCCCCTTGGTATCCATGTTTGTTCTCTACATCTGTGTCCTCTATTTCTGCTTTGGGAGTAAGTTCATCTGTACCATTTTTCTAGATTCCACATATAAGCTGTATTATACGATATTTGTTTTTCTCTTTCTGATTTAACTCCTCTGTATGACAGTCTCTGGGTCCATCCATGTCTCTGCAAATAGCACTAGTTCGTTCCTTTTTATGGCTGAGTAATATTCCACTGTATATATGTACCACATCTTCTTTATCCATTCCTCTGTTGACGGACATTTAGGTTGCTTCCATGTCCTGGCTATTGTAAATAATGCTGCAGTGAACACTGGGGTACATGTATTTTTTTGAATTATGGTTTTCTCCAGGTGTATGCCCAGGAGTGGGATTGCTGGGGCATATGGTAGTTCTATTTTTAGTTTTTAAGGAACCTCCCTACTGTTCTCCATAGTGGCTGTATCAATTTACATTCCCACCAACAGTGCAAGAGGGTTCCCTTTTCTCCACACCCTCTCTAGCATTTATTGTTTGCATAGACTCTTGTCTATTCATTTACAAACACAAGCACTTTTTGTTTGTTCAGTATAATTGTGATTATACTATAGATACTGTTCTGCTATTTCCCCTCTCCATTTAATTAACCCTTCCCTTATTTATAGACCTTTAGTTTTATATCCAGCTTTTATCCTCTATAGGTAATGTAGAAATGCATGTACTTATAGAGATTTTCTGCACACTTGTGTGATTTCTGCAGGAAGGACATCTGGAAGTGGAATTCCCAAGTCAAAAAGCATAGTTTAAATTTAAACCCGATTTCGTAGTAATTTTGAGGGGAAAGGACAGCTTCTGAACGTATATTTTGTGACTTTTCAGCTCTTATTTTCCTACGTGAAGTAAGATCAGGTTTGTTCCTTGGTTTTTGTTTTAGGTGGTGCACAGGAAGACCCTGGTCTTACTTAGAGATGATCCTAGAACTAGTTGTAAGTAGACTGAAGTTCTAGTAGGACACAGTGTCCCAGAAGCCAAGGGAGGGACACAGCTGTATTTCAGAGAGGTCAGCTATGTCAGATGCGGTCCTGGAAACATGGAGGTCATATTGATATGGACAAGGGTAAGAAAGAGAAAGACAGCCTGACTGAACTGGGTTAAAGAGAGAGAACATGGGACACGGGTGAGCGGAGGCAAATCTTTAATGGAGTTTTGCTAGAAAAGAAAGCAGAGAAATGGATGTAAGATATAGGCTCAAGAAGGTTTTTTTTTATTTTAAAGAAAGATAGATGATATGTTTGTGTGCTGAAGGGCATGATTCAATAGAGGGAAATACTGATGATGAAGAGAGAAAAGGGATACTTGTGAAAGCGAAATTGTTGAGAAATGTGATAAAATAGAGTGCACGAGTGGAGAGGTTGGCCGTAGGTAGGAACAGGGACATCTCATCCACACAGGAGTGAGCACTGAAAATATGTTTAAAGACGAAGGTAGATTTGGAATTGGGAAGATGATGTAGCTCTTGTCTGATCGATTCTGTTTTCTCAGAAAAATAAGGATTAAACTGACAAAGTAGGAAGAAGGGTAGAGCTGTTGGATAGAAAGGTATGAAATTATCATCTTGGAGAGTAGGAACGGAAACTTATTAGGGGAGTGAAATGTAAAATGGATGGCTAGTGGGAAGCAGCTGCACAGCACAGGGAGATCAGCTCCAAGCTTTGTGATGACCTACAGTGGTGGGACAGGAAAGGTGGGAGGGAGATGCAAGAGGGAAGGGATATGGGGATATATGTATACGTATAGCTGATTCACTTTGTTATACAGCAGAAACTAACACACCATTGTGAAGCAATTATACTCCAACAAAGATGTTAAAAAAAAAAAAAAGACTTAAAAAAAAAAAGGCTGTTAGGCTTGCAGACAAATTTGCTTCCTGGAGTTTAATCTGATTTTATTGTGCTGCTCTGATTTTTTTTTTTCTCAAAGGTCTCAAAAGTCATATGTAATTTCCATGGGATCTGTAAGAAACATTTAATCAAAAGAAAATCTCCTTGAATTTTTGTATTAATTTAAGATATATCTTGTTTTTGCCTCTGAAGGCCATCTGAGAATGAAAACTTTGAATGCCAAGACCCTTCTGCCAAACATCTATTATAGTGTTTTTCAGGATATATGTACATGTGAAGAGGATGCTTGGTTTCTTTCTTTTTAGTTAAAATTTAGTTAAAATTATAATCAATTTAAAAACAAAATTGAGATTGTGACTTTAATCTGTATATACATCTAGAATCTTTATTTTCTAGTCAGATCATTACCATGGCAATTTGTTATTGAAGTTACTTGATTAAAGCCGTCTTTCCCT